GTAGTAGTAGTGAGTAGTAGTAGTAAGTAGTAGTAGTTAGTTAGTAGTAGTTAGTAGTTAGTAGTTAGTAGTAGTAGTAGTAGTAGTAGTAGTAGTAGTAGTAGTAGTAGTAGTAGTAGTAGTAGTAGCAGTAGTCGTAGTAGTCGTAGTAGTAGTAGTAGTAGTAGTAGTAGTAGTAGTAGTAGTAGTAGTAGTAGTAGTAGTAGTAGTGTTAGTCGTAGTAGTAGTAATCGTAGCCGTAGTAGTAGTAGTAGTAGTAGTAGTAGTAGTAGTAGTAGTAGTAGTAGTAGCAGTTAGTAGTAGTAGTAGTAGTAGTAGTAGTAGTAGTAGTAGTAGTAGTAGTAGTAGTAGTAGTAGTAGTAGTATAGTCGTAGTAGTAGTAGTAGTAGTAGTAGTGGTAGTAGTAGTAGTAGTAGTAGTAGTAGTAGTAGTAGTAGTAGTCGTAGATGTAGGTGAGTAGTAGTAGTAGTAGTAGTAGTAGTAGTAGTAGTAGTAGTTAGTAGTAGTAGTAGTAGTAGTAGTAGTAGTGGGTGTTGTAGTAGTAGTAGTAGTATTCGTAGTAGTAATAGTAGTAGTAGTAGTAGTAGTAGTAGTTAGTAGTAGTTAGTAGTAGTACTAGTAGTAGTAGTAGTAGTAGTAGTGTAGTAGGTAGTAGTGGTAGTAGTAGTAGGGAGGAGAGGAGAGGAGGAGGAGGAGGTAGGAGGAGGAGGAGGAGGAGGAGGAGGAGGAGGAGGAGGAGAAGCAGGAGGAGGAGGAGGAGGAGGAGGAGGAGGAGGGATGAGGGAGTAGGAGGGGGGAGGAGGAGGAGGAGGAGGAAGAGGATGAGGAGCAGGAGGAGGAGGAGGAGGAGGAGGAGGAGGAGGAACTGGAGGATGATGACAGTTGAGGATCACTGCTGCTGCATCCACCTACATCCCTTCCTGACGCCTTTTTCTGTTACAAGCCCTCCCGATTCTAGGACGGAGGGAGGGCTTACCCTTGTTTGACTTGCCCGCAGCAGGGCGCGACCGCTTGTGGTGAAGACCACATCACATCGACATTGGTAGCGGAGCTACCGTCGAGCGGGTTCGGTCCACGGCACGGAGTGCCGTCGCGAAGGTCGCGGCGGAGGAGCCTCAGCGAGGCCGACCCCGGTGGGGAACCAGCTATGTCCTCAGTAAGGGGCATGAGCGTTTGGTTGGCAGCAGCTCGAGCCCTCGCGCGGCGTGCGGAGGAAGGGGGCACTGCCCGGGCCGGCGGCCCAGACGAGGATGACGGCTTCCGATCGGCCGACGATGGCACGTTGGGCCGATCGCGGCACGAGGCCACTGCGACGCGTGCCGGAGGAACCGACAGCGGCGCGGGAGGCCCCCCGTTGCCGAGGCGTGGCGTTACTGCGGCGGATGGGATTCGTGGAGCGACTGGGGCACTCACGGACTCCATTGGCGTGAGTGGGGAAGTCCCTGGTCCGAGGGGCAGGGGCGCTGGGGCCCCCTCAGGCCAGAGCCTGATGTGGCGCCCGCCTGGCGCGGGTGGATGGCGGAGGCCGGGGCCGACCTGGGTCGGGATCGGACGTCCAGCGAGAGGTCGGAGATCTGGAGCTGGGCCGGCTGGCGAGCCGTCGGCGCGGCCGCCGGAGACGGCGACAGGCGCGACAGGGGCGACGAGAAGTATGTCCCCGAGTGGGATGGCAAGTCTGCGCCACCCCGCACCTTCGAGCGCCGGGTGAGGGTTTTTGAGCTGAACACTGTGATCCCGCCTCGGCGGCGGGACGGCCGGCTGCTCTCCAGGCTCAAGGGGCATGCCGAGACAAAGACACATAATCTCGACCCCTGGGCCCTCGAAGTGCCTGGCGGCGCCCGGGTGCTCTTGAGCTGCCTGCGCAGCAAGTGCGACCAGCAAGAGGCGCTGATGGTCGGCACGCTGGTGGGCGAGTTAGTGGGGAAACTCGCGCGCAACGTCGGTGACGAGGCGCTGGACTTCGAGACGCGCTGCGAGACGAAGATCCGCGAGCTGGGGGAGGCCATGGACGAGCCTCTGAACAAGCACCTGATGGCACACTACTTCTTGGAGAAGCTGCGAGTGGGAGGCGACGCGGACAGCCAAATTAGCACGAGCGCCGGCAACGAGCTGGTCTACGAGAAGCTCCGGGACTCCGCCATGGCATGCCTGCCCCGCGTGTCGGTGCTGCGAAAGACGTCGACCCTGCCGCCGAGCGCGGGCGGCGGGGGCGGTGCTCGCCGGGAGTGCCTGAGCCGGAACCGTCGAAGGCCAGGGCGGGCCGCTGGCCGCGGTGGGGGTCGCGCCGTACACGCGGTGCGCGGCGACCAGGAGGGCGACCCTGATGAGGCCGCTGACGACGACGGCGAGTGGCCCGAAGACGTAGAGTGCCACGCGGAGATGGGCTCCGAGGGCGATCTGGGAGCGGAAGAGGCGGCTGAGCACGAACACGTTCTTGAGGAGCAGCTGGCCTTCCAGACGGACAGCGCGGCGATGATGGCCCAGGCGAAGAAGGCCCGCGCCGAGGCGGAGTGGGCGCGCGACTTCTACCGCGGCGGCGCAAAGGGAGGCAGCAGCGCGAACACTGAGCGAGTCAAGAAGCCCATCGAGCCAAGTTTTCCGTGCAAGCGCTGCAGACGTCTGGGCCACTAGGCGACCCGGAGTGCCCCGGGGCCCCTGGCATGGACGGGGGCAGGCCAGTGGCCGTGGTGAGTCAGCCCGTCGGCGAGGCGGAGCTGACTCCAGAGGAGGAACCCACGTTCGTGGACCCACGGCGCGTGCTGATCACCGAGACCGGCGACGAGCTGTGGCTGCCAAGTTCGCGGCGGAATTTCTCTGGCACAGGCGGCTGTCATCGTGCGTCAAGAAGACGTGTGGATGCGAGTCGTGCAGGAGCGCGAGCCAGGTAGCGCGATCTACGGCCGCGCGGCGGTGTCGGCGCCCGTGGAATGGGGCGGCGAGGGAGTCGTGGTCCGCATCGGCTTTTTGGGCGAGGATGTGACCCCACTGATCTCGGGCGGTGCCCTGATGGAGCTGGAGGCGCGCATCCGCGTGGTGAGGGGAGAGATCACCGCGGGCACGGTCGGCAGGGGCCGATTGCCGCTCGGGGGGCTGAGCTCGGGGCACATGGCGACGTCTGCCCTCGACTGCGGGTCGACGGGGCCCGGCGCGGGAGCTGACGAAGCAGCGGGCCAGTGCCCGAGCGGTGCCGAAGTCGCTTTCAATGGGCGCGGCCCGTCGCATGAGGGCGCGCGCTGCGCCCTCCATGGGGGCGGGCGGCGGACCGACGACGAACGAGACGAGGTCGCGGGGGGCGAGCGAGACGAGGCCGCGGCGACGGCGGCGACCGCAGCCCCTCTCGGCTCAAGACTCCCGCGGCGGCGAGCTGGTGAGATCCTGGGCGGCGCGGGCGCTCGCGCGCGAGCGAGCGCCGACGCGGTGCCCGACGGTCGCGCAGTGTCGTGCCGGGGCGGTGCGAGGGAGGCAGGCTCTGCAAATTGTTTTCCGAAGGCTTGGTTCCTGGAGCTCCCGTCGGGGTTCCTGCAGAGGGGTGGCCGCCCTCGGAGCACCGGGTAGATGCGCGGGGCCAAGCAGGTGGGGATGGCCTTGTAGGAGCTGGGGCGGCGTCGAGGTCGAGCGGAAGCGGAGACCGCGGGTCAATCGAGGTTTGCGCTCCAGCGCAGGAAGGGCGCCTCCCGCGAGGGAAAGACAGCGGAGGGCGACCCGCGAACTACCCCGCCGAAAAGGGGTTGACGAAGATTGCGCTGCCAAAGCGGCAAGACGAGGCCGCGACCAGGGATATCGGGCTGACAAGAACAGATGGGCGCATCAGAACAAGAGAAGAGCTCGTCCGAGACGTCAGGCAGCACGTGAGCGACGCACGAGCGGAGACAGTGGATTCCGATCCCGATCCCGAGGCCGAGTCCACGGGGATAGAGACGGATGCGGCCATGGAAGTGGATTCCACGGAGGGGCCCGCGGTGTCATGGGGCGCCGCGACGGAGAGCCGCGCGACGCGACCAGTGCTGGCCGCCATGAGGGCCAGTCGGGCCGGATAGGGGGCGGCGTCCCCCGGGGCCGACGCCTGACGGGAACGTCGTTGCCGTGGGTGTGCTCGGAGACTGGGTGCGCCAGACCAGTGGTGGTCAGTGGGCCCGACAGCGTTGGGGCACCGATCGAGTGGGCGAGGTGGAGCTCTTCAGTGGGCCGAGCGAGGTCGGCCGTATAGGATCGAAGAACGCCTGGTGGTGCTTGCAGCCGCGGGATACGACGTGCGGCGGGGACCTCAGTCGGGAAGAGCATCGGGGCGCAGGCTTGGCGATGTTGACGCAGGTCAGGCCCAAGTTGGCAGTGGTCGAGATTCCGATCGGGGGCTCGATGGCGACAAGGTCTAGGCTGGCGGGGGGCAGCGCAGATTGGCGGGGACAACGAGCCAGCCAAGAGCATCAACGGGCGCTCCAGGACTCCGCGCTGAGGGGGGGCTCGGAGGCTGCGCGCTGGTCTGGAACGACAACCCCGTCCAGACACTATCCGCCAAACCGTCGGTCGAGACGGTGCGCGGCGGCTTGTGCGATCCACCGGGTCGGTGGAGTGAGGGCGCTGCGCGAAATCCGAGTTGGTGGGCCACCAACTGCGCGGGCGTCGCCGCCGAGGTCCGGATGGACTGCGTCGCAGTCCAGACCAGGGACGGTCTGGTCGGCTGGTTTCAGGCGCGGCGGCGCACGACGGCCCTCCAGACGCTGCGCGGACTGCGATTGTTCCTCCGCGGCCGATTCAGGCGCGGTCCCGTGGCGGGACTTACCGGCGCGGGGCCTGGGAAGGTTGAGTCTCCAGTTGCTTGTTGCCCTACGGCCGCAGCAGAAGAAGACAGTGGAGCAGCCATGCCGAATGGCGTCGCGTTCCTGTTCCCCAGCGCGACGGCGGGAAAGACAATGGAAAAGCGCATGGCGCCCGAAGTCCAGCGGGACCTGACCAGGCTGCGCGTCAACGCGGGACGCGCCAGTCCGGGCGACCTGGCGCGCCTGGCGGCGAAAGCAGGCGGGCCCGAGGTGGCCGTTGCTGGTGCCAGGGCGCTGCGGTATTCGAGCTGTGCTGAGCGGCCGCGCGGCGATCCCGGCGTTCTGCCCGCCTCAGCGAGATGCCGGGGGTGAAGCTGTCGGGAACATGGATCAACGCAGTAACGTACTCCGCCCCAGAGCATTTGTCGCAACCATCCTGTGGTGTTGGGTCCTCGTTTTGGAGAGACAGCGCCCCGCGTTCTCCTCCTGCGTTCCGCCCCCCCTCTCCTCCCTCTTCCCCATCCTTGCCTTTGCCCTGCGCGTGTCTCTGTTTCGGCGCGCCCAGTGCAGCGTTTCGTGGCCCTGTAGGGATCTCCACCGAAGGCCCCGGTGCCAGGGCCCGCGTGCCGCCGCTTCGCAATTTCTGCACACCCCTCAGACGCCTCGTGGCCCTATAGGGAGCTCCACCGAAGGGCCCAGAGGCAGGGTGCTCCACCGAAGGCCCCAGTGGCAGGACCCGCATGCCGCCACCTCGCCATTTCAGCACAAGTTTCATGTTTCGTGGCCCCATCAGGGGCTCCACCGAAACCCCCCAATGCCAGGACCCGCATGCCGACAACTCGCCACTTCTGCACACACGTTACATGGCTCGTGGCCCCATAGGGAGCTCTACCGAAAGCCCCCAGTGCCAGGGCCCGCATGCCGCCACCTCGCCATCCCGGCACACTCCTCACACACTTCGTGGCCTCATAGGGAGCTCCACCGAAGGCCCCAGTGACAAGGCCCGCATGCCGCCACCTCGCCATTTCGGCACACCTTTCACACGTGTCGTGGCCTCGTAGGGAGCTCCACCGAAGGCCCCATTGGCAGGGGCCGCGTGCTGCCACCTCGCAATTTCGGCACGCCCGTCACACGCTTCGTGGCCCCGTAGGGAGTTCCACAGAAGGCCCCAGTGGCTGCGTTTGCATGCGATCCACCTCCCCATTTCGGCGAACCCTTCACGCGTTCCGTGGCCGCACAGGGAGCTCCACCGAAGGTTCCATTTCGGCACACCCCTCTCGCACGTTTCGTGGTTTGAGGCGGCACCACCGAAGGCCGCAGCGGCAGGATCCGCATGTCGGTGCCGCCCCATTTTCGTACTTTTCGTGGCCCCATAAGGAGCTCCACCGAAGGCGCCGGCGGCACCTTCCCTCATGGCTCTCAGAGCCCTCTCCTGCTTCTGCTCCTTGGTCAGGGGGACGCCGTCCTCGTCGTCGCCGGCGCCCGCGAACACGGCCACGAACTTGTCCCTGAGCATGTCGGGCCCCGGAGGGATGCAGTGGCTACATAGGGAGCGCGGGCGAAGATGGTATTCAAAATTGCGGTATTCACAACTGCGGATGGTTGGGTCCTTCGCCAGGCTAATTTTTGGTAGCAGGTGTTGAGTCACTTGTGCAAACCGATGGTCTTCATCTCGGGCTGGGATGTACAGCTTTGCGTAGTGCAGCATCGGCTTTCACACCTCTCGATTGGAGTTGTGGATCTGCTTCGCTATCTCCTTTCAGTTGGCTCGTGATGCGAACGGCACGGGCGCGGTTTAACGAATTAGCGAAGACAACACCGAAACATTACATGGGGATGTTGTTAGGGAAAAGCACCAGGAATATACTTCAGTGGATGGGGCAGGAGAAACATGATGAGGGCGCCGTCGCCCTTCCTCGGTACACTACGGTTTTCTGCGAGGAGGCCTTGCGAATTGAGCAGGGCCCCTCCTCCGCCGGCGCTGGACAGGCCCTGGCACCTTGGTGGCTCCTCCTGCTGCTTGTGCAGCACTCGGGAGGCCCTCGAGGGCCTACCAGGATTGCTGAGACAAGGAGGATGAGGAAGATGAGGATGAGGACGATGATAAGGAGGAGGAGGAGGATGAGGAGGATGAGGAGGAGAAGGAAGAGGACGAGGAGGTGGAGGTGGAGGAGGAGGAGGAAAGGGATGATGATGATGATGATGATGATGATGATGATGATGAGAATGATGATGATGATGATGCTGATGATGATGATGATGATGATGATGATGATGATGATGATGATGATGTTGATAATGATGAGGATGATGATGATGATGCTGATGATGATGATGATGATGATGTTGATGATGATGATGAGGAGGAGGAGGAGGAGGTGGAGGAGGAGGACGAGGAGGATGAGTACGAGGAGCAGGAGGAGCAGGGGGAGGAGGAGGAGGAGCAGGAGGAGCAGGGGGAGGAGGAGGAGGAGCAGGAGGAGCAGGGGGAGGAGGAGGAGGAGGAGGACCAGCGTAAACCCAGGAGTCATCAACGATGTTGGAATCGACCCTCCCTCCAAGCTCTATTTTCGCAGGCCCCGACAGCGGTTCTTTTCCACTGGGGGAACTGCCTCGTTGGAAGACAGCCGGTTGAACAGCCTGAACCGTGCCTAAATATCATTCTCGGGACTCCAACGCCACGAATCAACCGGACTGTTGCGCCTTGACAATCCTGAATCGTGACAGAACGCCATGCCTGGGGCATCAGCACCGCGAATCAACGTAACTGTTGCACCTTCATGCTCCTGAATCTTTCCCAAACGCCATTTCTGGTATGTTAACCATGGGAATACATGGAGCTCGCGCATTTTCTTGACCAGAGTGTGTGTGTGTGGCGCTTAGGCGAGAGCCACATTCTGAAAAGGAGCCGGCCTCAACCAATGAAACTATTGGTAATCTTCAAAAGAGTATGCGCGGCGCTTAGGCGAAAACCGCATTTTGAAAAGGAGCCGCCCTCAATCCGTGAAGCTCTAGCCTTTTTTTGAACTAATGTGCGCGGCGCTAAGGCGAGGAGGAGCAGGAAGAGGACGACGACGATTGCGGCGACGACGACGATTGCGACGGCGGCGGTCGGGGATCACGTCGACAGCGGCGGCGGCGACGATGATGGCGGGGACGACGTTGACGGCGGCTGCCGTGGCGGCGACGATGGCGGCGGCGACAACGACGGTGGCGATATTGACGGCGACGACGTCGGCGGCGGCGGCGGAGCCCAGTCCAGGGACGAAGGCGACGGCGACAGCGGCGACGGCGATGGCGGGGGCGGGGGCGGCGGAGGCGGCAATGTCCCGCCGCCCCCTTCGCGCGCGCCCCGTGCGGAGGCGGTGAGGCGCAGCGGCGAC